TGACGGCTCTCGGTTCCCTGTGCGCCTCTTTGGTGGGCTTCCTGCCGCCTCTTGGGAGGCCTCTCGGGGGCCTTTTTTGGGCGGTATTTTTGGGGGACCTCCTGGGGCCTCCTCGGGGCCTCTTGGGGGCCTCTTGGGGCTTGCTAGGGGCTTCTCAGGGGCCTCCCGGGGGCCTCCTGGGGGCCCTCTTCGGGCGAAGGGCTCGACATGGGCGCTCGGGCCCCCCGCCTGGGCCCTCTCTTGGAGCCGTCTTTGGGGGGCCTCTTGGGCACGTCGTTTTCGTGCGTGTTTTCGCGGATGTTTATCCTTTGTGTACTTCCTCAAGACTCGCCGACGTGAGCTGGGTCGTTCATGGCCCATGACCCCCAGACCATCGAAGGATGTTTCTGCCAGTTTCTGCTGTTTTTCCTGGGCGTTTCTCCCCCTGTCGGCCCCCTGGGGCCGCCTTCGGGTCCCAGGACCAGATGATCGAGACCTTCGGAGCGCGGATTGAACAAATCGCATCTCTGGGGAGGCACACCGATCATGGTCCATAGGGATTGACGGCTCTTGTCCAATCGACCTGTTGGGATCACGCCATCTGTGTCGAGGTAATCTATGCGAGTCAATGTAGAGCTGAATCTGTCGAGGCAGATCCAGAGATATCCAGATACGTCTGGAGAGTATCGTGGAAATTCTGGCGCGAGTCCATGGGCAGCAGAAGTCGTTCAGCCCCTATCGAAGGATGGGCTCGGCCTCGATTGGTGAGGTGGTCAGCTGACGTCCCCCGAACCAGCGAGGGCACGGACCACCCGGGCGGCGACCTGCGCTCTGTCGGGGTGCCCTCTGGGGCGGACTGCTGCCAGAAGTGCGCCGAGGATCCGCGGGGATCGAGGCTTTCACAGGAGGAGAGGACATGCACCGATTGCGCTGCCCGTCACTCGATCATGGCTCATTTCGACTCCTCCTCGATTCGATTCGATTCGATGTCGATTCCGATTCGATTCGACCTCGGGTTCCGATCTAGATTTTGCTTTAGCAATGGAGGCCTCTGCCGATTTCCTCCGATTGGACTCCTCCCGACTTGGCTGCCCATGTCATCCGATCCGATTCATTTCAATCGCCGATCCGACTTCTCGATTCGATTCTGGGCTCTTCTGCTCGTGTTGGAGGAGGACAGGACAACCGTATGCGTCCACCTCGTTCCTGCCCCTCCTCCCTTCCCCAGCAGCGGAGGAAACAGTCAGATGAGCAAGGAGGAGGAGAAAGGAGGTGGATCTGTGGGAGCGTTCGATTCCTGCTCGTCGCCACGGCCAGAAGCGCCTCGAGATCCTGGTCAGAAGGCGCCCTGGGAGAGGTCCAGGGATCAGCGGCATCGGTATCCATTTGTGCCTCCAGGTTCGAGGATCGAGGAACGACTTTTCTGAGCGCTCCTGGTCCTCTCCAGGCGGAGGCCTCCAGTGCCCTCAGGGGCGGACTGCTGCAGAGGTGCGCCTAGAGCCGGTGGGTGCCTCGTCGTCGTCGTCGTCGTCGTCGTCGTCGTCGTCGTCGTCGTCGTCGTCACGTTTTTGTTATGAGGATCCTTGTTCTCAACGTTTCGGGGCTTGTTCAATGATCACGCGTTTCGCCCCGAGTCCGAGGGTCTAGGGGGCGGCCTCGTCGTCGTTCTCCTCCTCCTGCTCCTGCTCCTCCTCCTCCTGCTCCTGCTCCTCCTCCTCCTCCTCCTCCCCCTCCTCTTACTCCTCTTCTTCCTCCTCCTCCTCCTTCTCCTCCTCCTCCTTGCCCCGAGGGTGGGGGCCTGGCACCTGTTCTCATGGTGTCAGCGCCACACACTCCTCGGGGCACACTGTCAGTGTCAATTGCATGCGGCGGCTGGGGGCAGATAGACCGGCTTTCGTCGTTCTGGCACCAGCCACGTGGCACTTTGCCCGTGGCAGCGGCGCGTTAGCTGCGCCCGTGACCTGGAGATGGGTACCAGGCACGGGGAGTGTGCATTTGGTTGAGAGGCGGGGCCATGTGGTCCGTAAGTCCCTTGGGGCCTTGTGTCCGCTCACCCTTGGTTGCAAACCCAGTTGCACAATGCCATCCAATTCGGCAGGGGTGACGGTCGGGAAGTACTGCGCGGTGACGCGGTGAACCGGCTGTCCCCCTACGCACCAGCCCGTGCCGGTTGGGCAGTGAGTCGCTGAGCGACGAGGTATCTGCCTTTCCCCTGACCGTCGGTGCTGGCGCCTGCGGGCCCCTTCCTCCTGTCTGTGAGGCCGAGGGTGACGGTTGAGCCTCGCTCGCCGTTCGCTTGTTGGATCTATGACACTCATGACACTCCTCCTCCTCCTCCTCCTTCTCCTCCCCCTCCTCCTCCTCCTCCTCCTCCTTCTCCTCCTCCCCCTCCTCCTCCACCCTCCATCTCCCTCGTCCTCTTCCCTGCTGCTGCTGCTCCTCCTCCAGCTTCCTCCTGTCGGAGGACGGATGACGGATGACGGATGACGGATGACGGAGGACGGAGGACGGAGGAGGAGGAGGAGGAGGAGGAGGAGGAGGAGGAGGAGGAGGAGGAGGGAGGAGGAGGAGGAGGAGGAGGAGGAGGGAGGAAGAAGGAGGAGGAGGAGGAGGAGGCGGATGAGGAGGAAAGGAGGAGGAGGAAGAAGAGAGGATGCAGGATGTGGAAGAGAAAGGAGGAGGAGGAGGAGAGGAGGAGGAGGAGGAGGAGGAGGGGGAGGAGGAGAAGGAGGGAGGATGCGGGGGAGGAGGACGTGTAAGGGGTGAGGAGGAGGGGAAGGAGGGGAATGAGGGGGATGAGGAGAGGAGAGAGGGAGAGAGGAGGAGGATGGAGGAGAGAGGAGGAGGAGGAGGAGGAGGAGGAGGAGGAGGAAAAGGAGGAGGAGGCCACCCGCACCGATCCTGGCCGAGGTTGGCACCGGTCCAGGACTGGTGTGCACGCCCTGCTGGGAGGGCGCATGCGTCTGCGCTGATCCTGGGCCCAGGAGCGTTGTGGCCATGACCCAGGAGGGAAACGGACACACAGACACAACGAATCCTCGATTCCCAGGAAAAACAGGAAACTACGGGGAGTGCAGGGAACACAACCATCCAGAAGATATGGCGAATGTGGGGACTCTACGGGTTTATGTCCATCTATTTGTGTGTGTCCCTGGGCCCCTTCAACGATCGGTGCAGGCGGCTACACCAACGCCGACCATGGGAAGGCCCGTGCTGGGCGCAGGCCTGGCGGGTACGCCCCTTTCGGCCAGGCACGCCGGTGCCGAGCCCAGGCTCGGCCTGGCCAGGATCGGTGCGGGCGCGCAGCTTCCCGCCCCTGCTCCTGGAGTCAACGAGCGGCGCCTTCCCCCTCCCCGTTCCTCCTCCTCCTACCCCTCCTCCTCCTCCCCCTCCTCCTCCTCCTCCTCCTCCTCCTCCTCCTCCTCCTCCTCCTCCTCCCCGTTCCTCCTCCTCCTACCCCTCCTTCCCCTCCTCCCCCTCCTCATCCTCCCCCTCCTACCCCTCGTTCCCCTCCTCCCCCTCCTCCTCCCGTTTCCTCCTCCTCCTACCCCTCCTTCCCCCCTCCCCTCCTCCTCCCCCCCTCCTCCTCCCCCTCCTACCTCCTCCTCCTCCTCCTCCTCCTCCTCCTCCTCCTCCTCCTCCTCCTCCCTCCTCCTCCTCCTCCCCCTCCTCCTCCTCCTCCTCCTCCCATGCGCGGTCGCACGGTTGGGCGTTCCGCGCGGGGCATTCCGCGAGGAAACGCCCCGTATCGCGGGGTCCAGGCCCAGGGCCCGGCCCGACGAACGACGACCACGACGGCGACGACGACGAAGACGACGACGACGACGACGACGACGACGACGACGACGACGACGACGACGACGACGACGACGACGACGACGACGACGACGACGACGACGACGACGACGACGACGACGACACCACGAACACGTCACCAAAACGACGACCCTTTCCCCAGTGCCAGCTTTTCAGCCTGGGCTGTTTTTTTGACGGTCCTGGCGTCCAGCGGGGGCACCCGGAGGCCGAAGAATAGGTCCCAAACCGCCCTCCGTGTCTTTTTTCTCGCGGCGCGAGCGTGCCTGGGTCCAGGATTAAGTCTGGCATGGCCCTCTACAGGAGGAGCGGTCAACAAAACAGTCAGGGGACGATTTTTTGAGTATTCTTTGGACTGCTTTTGAACCTCTTCGTTTTTTATTTCTCGTCCCAAGTCCGCCTGCAGGGGGTCATGCCCGAGGAGGAGGAGGAGGAGGAGGAGGAGGAGGAGGAGGAGGAGGAGGAGGAGGAGGAGATCTGCCTTTCGCCCACGAGGGAGGACGCCCAGTGCGCCGTGGCCGTGTACTACGGGGCGGCCTGCTACCTGAAGGGGGCGGGGAGCCTGGGCGGCGCCCGCGCCGCGCCGGGCCGCACGGCCTTCGTGCCCAAGGCCCACGTGCCCTCGTCGACGCCGAGGCCGGCGCGGGACCCCGCGCGCCCCGCGGCGACGGCCCCCTTCGACTGCCAGCACGGCTACGCCAAGTGGGAGCGGGGATGGTCGGAGGCGAAGAAGGCCTTCGGCGGCGCGTCGGCGGCGAGCGAACAGGAGGAGGAGGAGGAGGAGGAGGAGGAGGAGGAGGAGGAGGAGGAGGAGGAGGAGGGGGAGGAGGAGGAGGCCCTCTCTCGGAGGGCGGCGGGGGCTTCTCTCAGGGGCCCGCGCGCCTGCCGAGGGGGTGCAGAAGCGTTCTCTGTGTCTTCGGGGGGGGCGGGGGAAACTTCTCTCGGGGGTGGACAGAACCCCCAACAGTGACACGTCGATTAGCGACTTGTCCGTTTTCGGTTCTCGAGAGGGCGCCGTGGCCGTTATTTTCCAGGCTTGCGCCCGCCAGGTTTGGGCCTCAGGTCGTTTTCACTAAACTACGTTTTACTAAAGGGGGGTCTGTCCATTCCCGAAGAAGGCCTTCTCCTCCTCACTTCCCCCCTCGCTCGCCGCCGACCTCCGGCGGCGAAGTGCGAACCCTGCCCTCGCCGAGCAGCGGGTCGGGCAGTTCGCTGGGCGGCGGGGGCAGGTTTCGGAGTCCGCCGGACACGCGGCGAAATCCGAACCCGCCTCCCACCGATTCAGGAAAATCGATGGTTGGTTGGGGTAGGATTCGGATGTCGCCACCTAAGGCCTGGTGCTGCGAGCGGTACGAGGTCGGCTGCGCTGCAGATCCCAGTAACTCCAGTAGGCCGTTCGACTGCGACTCCGGAAGTGCGTCGGGCGAGGAGCAGTGGACAGCGAGTCAGAAGATGTGGTGTTGCAGGCACCGTCGCAAAGGCTGTGTCTTTGATTGCGCAGCAGGCGTCGACAAGTGGCAGCGCGGATGGTCTGAGGAGAAGAAGGCGTGGTGTTGCGCGCTCGAAGACGTGGCGTGTGTACACAACTGCTCGGATGGGTTCGAGAATTGGGAGGCGGCCTGGACAATAGAAAAGAAATCCTGGTGCTGCAAATTCAAGAACCGTGGATGTGTGATTGCGCAGACGGTCCCCGTGACGCCTGCAGACGTCACACTTGGCGACAACACCAGTGCAGTTGCCCCAGTCGCCACGGGTGGCGCCAACACCACCGGTGCAGTCGTCGCATGGACGGCTTGCGCCTTTGAAGAGGGTACCGACTACAGCGGGCACGACATTGCAAACAGTCAGGTTGAAAGCAAGGACGACTGCTGTTCGGCATGTGTAAACCATCCAGGCTGTACAGTCGGCGTTCTCTTCGAGGGGCGCTGCTTCCTCAAGAGCTCCACCGCAGCGGACAAAGTAGTGTCTGAAGGGCGCACAGCATGCGCCCTGGCTGTTGGTGCTGAGGCGGGGGATGTCCAAGCGCTCAGCGACACCGGATCGTCTCGCAGTGATCCAGCACCAGGCGACGCTGAAGCACCCAGCAGTGGTGAGACACGCCAGTCTGCTCATTCATCTGTCCACGCAGGCCTTGACAAGACCGACGATGACCCAGCCTTGTACAACTGCGACGACGAGGATAGAGGAACGAAGAATGACATAAACACAGAAACTTGGAGGTCCGCGCGGATTTCCCGGATCGGCGCTGGACCCCCCTCCCTGGCGCGCGGAGCGCGCCAGGGGCGGCGCTGGAGGCGCCGCCAGGGGGGCCCAGCGCGGATCCGAGAAATCCGCGCGGGGTTTCCGAGTTTTTCTGCTTCTGTCACTCTTCGCTCCCCTGCCGAGGAGGAGGAGGGCTGGTCGCCGGCCAAAGGGGACTTCTGCTGCGAGAACGAGGGCAAGGGCTGCCCGCCCGCGGGAGTCCAGGGAGCCAGCGCCGTGCTCGGGCGGGGCAGCTCCGAGCTCGCCCGCCCGGGCCGGGCCGCCCCTGTGGCGGCGGGCGCGGCGTCCGTCGCCGCCACGCTGCTGAGCATCGGGTGCTGCTACAGGCGAGGCTTGCACGTCGGGCACGTCCCTCTGCAGGAGGATCCTCCGAGGGCAGTCCAGGAACAGTCTGGGGACGATCTTGTCGACCATTTTTTGACTATTGCCGAGCAGTTGTCAGGAGGGGGAAACACACACAGAGAGACACAAATCATCGTCGACTCCCAGGGAAAGATATGGGCAGCTATGGGAAGTGGGGGGGGAAGACGACAGACCCCGAACATATGTGGGGAAACATGGGGGAACCCTGTTCTTTGTGCCTATGCATTCGTGTGTCCCGGGGCCCCTTCCTGCTCTTCAGTTCTTCGCCCCCAGGGTCCGCCTGCAGGAGCCTCCTGCAGGAGCCTCCTCATCCTCCGAGGAGGAGGATGAGGAGGAGGAGGAGGACGATGAGGAGGAGGAGGAGGAGGATGAGGAGGAGGAGGATGAAGACGAGGAGGAGGAGGATGAAGACGAGGAGGGGGAGGAGGATGAGGAGGAGGAGGAGGAGGAGAGAGGGAGGAGGAGGAGGAGGAGGAGGAGCGGAGGAGGGGACGGGAGGAGGAGGATGGAGGAGGAGGAGGAGGAGAGGAGGAGGAGGAGAGGAGGAGGAGGAGGAGGAGGAGGAGGAGGAGGAGGAGGAGGAGGAGGAGGAGAGGAGGAGGAGGAGGAGGAGGAGGAGGAGGAGGAGGAGGAGGAGGAGGAGGAGGAGAGGAGGAGGAGGGAGGGAGGAGGAGGAAGGAGGAGGATGAGGAGGAGGAGGAGGTAGGGGGAGGAGGAGGAGGAGGAAGGAGGAGGAGGGGGAGGAGGAGGAGGAGGAGGGGAGGAGGAGGAGGAGGAGGAGGTAGGAGGAGGAGGAGGAGGAGGAGGGGAGGGGGAGGAGGAGGAGGAGGAGGAGGAGGGGAGGAGAGGAGGAGAGGAGGAGGAGGAGGAGGAGGAGGAGGAGGAGGAGAGGAGGGGGAGGAAGGAGGAGGAGGAGGGAGGAGGAGGAGGAGGAGGAGGAGGAGAGGAGAGAGAGGGGGGAGGGGAGGAGGAGGAGGAGGAGGAGGAGGAGGAGGGAGGAGGAGGAGGAGGAGGAGGAGGAGGAGGGAGGAGGATGAAGACGAGGAGGAGGAGGAGGAGGAGGAGGGACACTGCCCGGCCCGAGGCGAGGCCCACGGCCGCAGCGGGGCGCCCCGTGCCCCGCGGCGGGCGGGCGGTCCCGCGGGAGGCCGACGTCAGCGCCGCGGTCGCTCGGCCCCAGGAGAGGACAGTGTAAATCGACGCGAAGGTCGGGACAAAATCGGATCGGGATAACTCGAAATCTCTGAGAATCGGCGGGTTTGGAGGATGTATTGGGCGCCGCGGCCGCTCCAGAGCGTTCCGGAACGCTCTGAAAGCGCTCCGGAACGCTCTGGAGCGATTTATCCCGATCCTAGCCCTCCGGGGGGGCCCCGCCAGGGCTCGTTTCGATTCCTCCGATTCGATTCGCTTCGGTTTCGGTTCCGATTCCGGGTTTCTATTCGCTTCGATTCGCTTCGATTTCGATTCGATTCGCTTCGATTTCGATTCCTCCGATTCGATTCGCTTCGATTTCGATTTGGATTCCGATTCCGATTCTATTCGATTTCGGGTTCCGATCTGGGGTCCGATTTCTTGTTGGAGGCATACTATAGCCTGCCGATTTCTGCCGATCCGACTTTTCCCGACTCGGCTGCCGATTTCCGACGATCCGATTCGTGTAGATCGTCGATCCGAGTTGTCGATCCGATCCTGGGCTCTCCTGCCCCGCGGCCGAGGCAGCAGGGAGCGGCGCACGCCATCGGCGAAGGCTCAAGTCGGGCCTGTGCCCCCACAGGGGGAGGGCTCAAAGATAGTCAGAGCATGGTCTGGGGACTGTGTTAGGACTAATTTTTTTTAGCACTCTGGGGGTATTTTTTGGGTATCTTCTGATCTGTCTGCCAAAGTCCCCCTGTATGGGGGACAGTCCCGACTTAAGCCGAGTAGCAAGAAGCGGCACACGCCATCAGCGAAGACGGTGGAGGCGTGCCAGAAAGGGTCTCGCCTGCGCGGATCGGAAGAGTTGCCGCCTCTTCCTCGGCGCAGGGTCGGCGGGAGGCGGTGGAAGCAAAACGGTGGCGGCTCCGCCGGAGGAAGCTGGCGGAAACTGGCGGGGGTGCCAGGCGCGCCCCCCCCCCAGGAGAGGACAGTGTAAATCGACGCGAAGGTCGGGACAAAATCGGATCGGGATAACTCGAAATCTCTGAGAATCGGCGGGTTTGGAGGATGTATTGGGCGCCGCGGCCGCTCCAGAGCGTTCCGGAACGCTCTGAAAGCGCTCCGGAACGCTCTGGAGCGATTTATCCCGATCCTAGCCCTGTTTTACAGTGCCTTCGGGTTGAGGGTTTCCGGAAGCCGCCAGCTGGGCCTGGCGACGGCGATCCGGGCTCGCAGCAGCGCGGCACACTCTGCCTGCTGGCGCCCACCGGCACGCAGAGGATGTGCTCGGCAGCGCTGGCAGTCTGAGGGTGTGCTCAACGGCGGCGGGCGTCAGCACGCCAGGGTGAAGGCGGGCACGTCCCTCTGCCGGAAGAGTACTCAAAAGAATAGCGAAAAAATAGTCAGGGGACGATTTGTCTACCACTTTTTGACTTTCGTTTATTTTTTTGTTGGACCACTGCCCAAAATTCGCCTGTAGGGGGACGTGCCCGGCCTAACGCCAGGGGTGCACGCGACAGCTGCTCAAATGTCCAGGCGAGCGGTGCAGAAGCACGGGGCCGTCTTCGCCGACGTTGGCGCGTCGGCTGCCCTCGTGAGGTCGCGTGTGAGCGTCCTCGTTTCCTGTGCAGCGTGCCGCGCTGGCGGCCCGCGTGCGCTGCGGCGTAGGGTTAAGTCGGGCCTGTCCCTCTACAGGAGGAGTATTCAAAAATAGTCTAAACATAGTCTTGGGACGATGTGTTGACGATGTTTGACAATCTTGGGGTATTTTCTTCGTCCAAGAATCGCCTGTGGGGGGACATGCCCGACCTGAGCGTGGGGCCGCCGTGCCGTCTCGCGTGAGACCGGCTGCCGATCGCGTCACTCGAGTGTACTCGCCGACGGCGTAAGCACGAACCCTCAGAGGTCCGCGCCGATTTCCTGGGTCGGCGCCGCTGCCCCCTCCCCTGCGGGGGCGCCTCTAGCCTTGCCAGCCGCCGCACTGTTCGGCGGCGAGCGGGGGGTGGGTGGGGGGGTGAGAAGGATGAGGCCCTCTCAAAAGCTTGGCGGCGCACGCAAGGGTGTATGGGGGAGGGGGGAAGGTTTCTCAGAGGCAGGCTGCTTCTGAGAAGGCGCGGGCCTCACATCTACAAACAGGGCCCGCCGCTTCTAAGAAGCAGAGGTGCTTCTAAGAAGCCTTTCCCCCTCCACCTACCCCCCTCTGCGCGTGGGCGAAAGGGGGCGGTGGCTTCTCAGAAGCCCTCTGGCCTTCTGAGAAGGTTCCCGTGCCTCCGGGGAGGGCTGAGAGAACATCCTCCCAGAGGGCCGCAGGCCTTCCGAGCCTTCTGACAGTGCTTCTTCAGTCGGTTCTGCCGGCTAACCAAGCAGGCCCTGCCCATGAGAGGCGAGCCCGACGCAAGTTTATTCTTCCTTTCCCAAGTGTCTGTTCTGGTGCGTCATCCTTTGGTGGGCCGTGAGGAAGTGGCCCAGTCTGCCAGGGTCTTGTCGTTGTCGCCGTGGAGTTGCGCGGTGACCCACTGGCCCAATGCGCCGTGTTGCGGCAGTTGCCGCCGTGCGGTTTTCGTGGAGATCTGCGTGGTGTGTGGTGGGTCGCGCCTTTCGCGGTGGGTTGCGCGGTGGGTTGCTCCACAGGGTTCCAGACACAATCAAGTCCCACACATTCCACACACAGGGTTTCGCATACACACGCCGGACTGCTCACACGGAGGGTCTCGGGCACACGGAGGGTTCCGCGAACACTGTCGCACGACTCATTCTGGGGAGCCGTGCGCTGGCATCGCTGCTCTTCCTGTGGAGGTCTATGTCCAGCCGTTGCCGGGCCTCCCCCATAGCTCAGAGCGTGGCCGAGCGACCACGGGTGCCAGATTGTTTCTGGAGCGCGATCGCGGGGGCCAGGCGGTCCCCAGCCGGCTACACGGAGCTCCGCCCGGCCGACGCAGATGCGCCGACGTCCACAGCGGACGGCCTCTGACGCCGCGCGCGGCCCGGGTCGCGGGCTGCAGCTGGGGGCGCTGGTTGCCCCGACCCCATCTCTCAGGAGGAAAAGAAACACACAGACACAATTAATCCTCGATCCCCCAGAGAATATGGGAAAATATGGGAAGTGGTGGGGAAGACAAAAACCCAGAAAATATAGGAAAATATGGGGAATCTTTTTATTTGTGTGTATTTATTTGTGTGTCCCAGGGCCCCTTCAATTTCGGCCTCACGGGAAAGTTTTCGGGCTCCGGGGCCAAAGATGGATCGGGCCACCTCCGGGCCCGATCGTCCGGTGTCTGTGTATGGGTTTCGAGCGGCAGCCGTGTCGATGTCCGTGTTCTCGCGGGAGGCTCGACTCCTGGGGTGCGCGATCCCACGGGTGCGCTCCATGCGGGGCGTCCGCGCAGAGTCAGAGCCCGGACCAGCAGGGCTTGGATATGGATACGTTTCCCGCCCACGCATTGGAGGCCACCGTCGCACACACCTCTCTGATCTCTGCCCCTCCCTGGAAGATCATATATCAGAAATCAGACATCAGACATCAGACATCATCATCATTATCATCATTATCATCATTATCATCATCATTATCATCATCATCGTCATCATCATCATCAACATCATCATCACGATCACGATCATCATCATCATCATAATCATCATCATCATCGTCATCGTCCTCGTCCTCGTCATCGTCATCGTCATCGTCATCGTTGTTGTCGTCGTCGCCGTCATCGTTATCGTCATTGTTCACGTGGTCGTCGTCGTCGTCACCATCACCATCACCATCACCATCACCATCACCATCACCATCACCATCACCATCACCATCACCATCACCATCACCATCACCATCACCATCACCATCACCATCACCATCACCATCACCATCACCATCACCATCACCATCACCATCATCGCCATCGTCGTCATCATCGTCATCATTATCCTCATCGCCATCGTCGTCGTCATCATCGTTGTCATCGTCATCGTGCTCATAACAATCCTCATCATCATCATCGTCGTCATCCTCATCATCATCATCATCATCATCATCATCATCATCCTCGTCATCGTCATCGTCATCGTTATCATCATCGACATCGTCATCATCATTATCATCATCATCGTCTTGACCATGACCATCACCATCATCACCATCATCATCAGCAGCATAACCATGATGAGCATCATCATGATGATGGTGAACATTGTCCTCATCATTGTCATCGTCATTGTCGTCGTCGTCGTCATCGTCGCCGTCGTCATCAGCATCAACATCATCACCATCACCATCATCATCACCCGTACCATAATATTCATCACCATCATCATCATCATCATCATCATCATCATCATCATCATCATCATCATCATCATCATCAAGCGGCAAGAGCCTCTTGCTTTAACTCATTAGTGACCAAGACTGCCTGGTTCTTCATATAGTCATTGCTTGGGCAACCCCGGCAGCGATGCTGTGGAGTCTCCAACTCATCGGCACACCGTGGGCTTCTACATGGGTGAGATACCCAGTATCACGAAGGCGAGCCTCGGGCCAGCGTAGGAACTAGGCGATCTCCTAAAATGGGATCTCTCGAGGTTGTCATAGAGGTAGCACTTTGCCTTGGGAATGCTTTGGACACAGCCTGCCAGGATGGACTCCGCAGCCTCGACGAGTTTTGAAAGTATGCCTTGGACTTTCAGGATACGCGGGATTGTGTGGATCAGCATTCCCATATACAAAACGTAGGCAGAATAGCCGTGCTTAGTAGCGAAGTGCATCAAAAGAGACGGCGAGTCAGAGTCGAAACGTTTCTCCATATCCCAATGGGCCGAAACCGCCGACATCCACCAGACAACGCAACCTCGTGACAAACCTCCCGAACCAGCGTGGCATTCAATGCCGAGGACCTCTCGACGGCCGTGTCCCAGAATTCCCGGTGCGATTTGTTCCACGAATCGATATCAAAGCCTCTGGTCTTGCAGTAAATGCGATGTACCCTTGGGCATTTCACCGTGGTCGGCTCCTCGCCGATAGACTTGGGCAGCATCGCCACGAGACAGAGGTAGCGCTGAGGTGGGAACGCCAACTGGGCCTCGACGGCGTGCAAGATGCCGAGGAACTGCTCTAGCGCTTCAAGCGGCAGAGAAATCAGCGAGCGCGGGACCCAGTGGTCAACGCCAGCAGATGTGCCCGAGGAAGAACAGACACATGCACGGGATAGATCACGCAACTCAGCGGCTCAACGTTGATGAGAGCTGTCTGTGCCAGAGCTCGCAACTCATCAAGCCCTGCAGCCCTGCTGCCAACATCGCTGCTGACATCGTCCACAGCCGCGACGCCGTTCTGTCGTCGCTGGCCGTGAGCGCGGAAGAGACGCCACTGCTCAGCAGTGATGTTGGTGTACTTGGCGAGGATGTCGAGCTGGCCGTCGCCGTGGCCGTGCGAGTTTGCCTCCGCGACGGCGAAATCGACGCCTCCAGCGCGCCGATCTGGGCATTCATGAGGAGCGTCGGCGTCGCTGTGAGCAGCAGCGGCGGCGGCGCCGCCAGCGGGGCCGCCCGCGGCTGCGGCGTCAGCGCCACCAGGGGCAGCGGGCGGCGCGGCGCCCACGCCAGCCGCAGCCGTGGCGGGCGCCTGAACCGAGACGGCTTCCAGTTGGTTTGGTGCCGCAGGCGCCCTCGCGGCCGTTTGGGCAGCATCTTGGGCGGCGGTCTGGGCAGCGCGCTGGGGAGCATTCTCCCGCTGCTTCGCATGCTTGAACTGGTAGGGATTGAAGTCGTTCTCGGCCTTGTCAGCGGCCACCTTCTCTTGCTGAGCAAGTCCGAGCGCGCGCCGAGCATCGCCGTGGGCTTCTTCTGATTCACAGAGGAAGGCGCGGGTTCTGTTAACGCGAACAAGCTTTCATTGAACGCCTTGATGGGCTAACCGTTCGGCTTTCGCGACAGACTCGGCCTGCCTGGCGAGCTCGGTCTGCTGGTGCGATGCGAGACGGTCGAGCTCCAACGTACTGAGCTCCGTATGTCTGGTGCTGGTGGGGCTGCCGCCTGCTGCGCCGCGGCAAACAGCTCAGGGTGCACTCCTGCCCAATGCTGGGGCTGCGACAGGAACTCCGCGGGCATGGCGCCCGGATGGGGCGGCTGGCCTGTTGCTTGGGCGGAGGCGGCTGCGCGCCACGTTCCACGCGCTGGCGCTGCCTCGCCCTCAGTGTCTGCCACCTGGTACGGGCCTTGGCACTTGCTGCGCTGCTGGGGCCCCCACTTCGCACACTCCCAGTGACCACAGAGAAAACACACGTTGTATTTCTTGTTCTTCTTGCCGCCACGCTGGTTGCCTGTGGTGTCAGGCTGCCACAACTAACGGCCTCCGCTGGAAGGCTCGCGGGTACGCCAGGGGGCAGCGTTCTGCCAAGACATGGCTAGCGGAGCACTTCCGTGATGGGCCCACAGCGGCCACATGTCCCGCTCACGGCGGAGGCGCGACCGCGCTGAGGCCCTCGCCCGCCGAAAGCGGCGGTGCCACGCGGGCGACGCGGATCGCGCGCGCGTTCCTGGCGCGCCGCGCGGGGCTATGGGTCAGCTGCGCGGGCGAGGACCCGACAGCGCCCGCTGCTGAACCATCGAGGCGGAGGAGGAAGAGGAGGAGGAGGAAGAGGAGGAGGAGGAGGAGGACAAGGAAAATGAGGAGGAGGAGGAGGAAAAGGAGGAGGAAAAGGAGGAGGAGGAGACGGAAGGTATTCTGCTACAGTTGGAATCCTTCTGTATCCAGTAACAAAAGGAATGATTGTTCAAGCTGCCGCAAGAAATCTATTTGTATTCCGCCACACAATGCATCCTATGTCATCCGCCACAACAGGAATCCTTCTGTTTTCCGCCACTGGAGAAATCCTTTTCCCAACTCCCACGCATTGGATCGTTCTGTAGTCTGCTACACAGGGACTCCCATCGTAAACCGCCACAAAAACGATTTCTGGTGCATCCCTGAGGAGGACAGAACCGTGACCCTGCCAAGTCGATGGGCGGACAGTGCTTCTTCGGTCCTCGAGGGGGTTACTGTGGCCGCGCTCCCTGCGGGCCTGGGGCCCGCCAGGGTCTGGTCCCAGGCCGTCTTGTCTGCGGGGTGTTTTGCTGCTGTTGCACCACGTGGTATCTCACCAAGGGGCTCTCATGAACGGTATATATATATATGAATATGTATATAGATCAATTCCTTCTTGACTGCGCGGGGGGTCTTGTTGCTGTTGCACCAAAGTGTCTCACTTAGGGGTTGTCGTGGGCGAGAAACATATCCGCTTCCGCGGCCTCGCGGGCTGGGCTCCCCAGACCGCGACCCCGCGGCTACGGGGCGTTCTGTTCGCGAATGCCCCGTGCGGAACGTATGCGCACGATCGCGCACCCGCGGGATTGCGCCCCGGATTCCGGACCGCGAGGGCGCGGATACGGATTTGTTCGCCGCTCATAAGGTTCTGG